CTCTTTTCCTCTCTCTCTCTTTCCAACTCAAAGTAACGAGTTCATTTCCTTTCAATTATTTTCACTTGAGAAAATTTCCCTGTTGATTCAGGAACTCCGAGCAATCATCGTACATTGCTCGCAATTGTCCGCGAACTTCTCCATTTTTTCAATTTCCACAGTTTCAACTCACGCGTGAATCATACCCAATTAAACCTCGCCATTTCGCGCCATCAGAAGTTACGCGATCGTGATTTCGGTGAGTTTCCGTGAAAATTTCTACTTTTTACTTTCGCACTCTTCGAACAAAATTGCTCCATTTGCTCTTCGATTGGGATGAATTTTAAGCGAATCGCGCTGAGAAAAAAAAGAGAAAGTAATTCTGCTCCTTTTGTTTGAATATTGTGTATAAGCGATATCGGACAAAAGAGAATACGGTCAAGGTACTACGAGTCGTACTGAACAATCGAGATGACTTCGTTTCTCCGTCGTTACCTTGGAGATAGCGTCAATAATAGAGTGGCCTCAAAGGAGAACGATCGAATTGATCGGACACTCATTACAGGAAGACAAATTTGTCCAGAAGCCATAAATTCGTGAGAATCGTTCGTGCGGAGTAAAGTTCTCGTGAGATCGAAGTTCTGCCGTAGAAACGTCGCAGGTAGGACTGTAGAATCGTAGACTGTAGATCAGCGACGGGCACTTTATCAGCTAAAAGTCGGACACGGTTCGGTGTCGGAAGGACGACTGGGAGAGGAGCAGATTTACATGCGAGCGGCGCATTCGAGACCCGCGACCTTTCGCGTTCAAGGGACATATCGCCCCTTATGGATACGCGCGATAACTCGCATAACTTATGCAATCTCGGCCGCCTCACCATGCAAAGTGGGTTAGTCCGTTATTTCAATGGAACGACGACGGTCCCATGACGATGAAGCTATAAAGGATATGAAAGTACGAGGGTAAACTTCACATCGCTCGCAATTATAGGGAATGACGCACGTGTGCCAAGAGAACACGCTGTATTTCGAAAAGGGATATACCGGCTCGTTCAAAAACTCAATTCCATTTTCTGTCCTTTTCGACGACCAATTGCGCACGAGTATGCGAATACTGTCGTAACGTTGGCAAAAGGTAGATGAGTAGATAGATAGATACTTAATTACGTTTATTATCACTTAGAGTTTTGCTCTAAGAGCGTGTATAAAATAGATGAGAAACTTTTTGAGATATATTAAATAAAAAATAAAATAAGAACAAAGAGACAAAAGAAATTAAATATGATACATGCGTTATATGCGTTAGAGATAGACAGAATAATAGATAAACGCTTTCATTGGATCATAGATAATGATGGTGATTACTTGGAAAAATTTCTGATGAAAAATTTCTCTCCACTGAATGCAGTAAAGTCGAGTTGGACTCAAAAAATCAGAAAAATTTGTTGCAATTTTTTAACTAAATTAGACTTTATTCGTTGGGGAAAGAATTCTTTTTCAGTCAAATAATTATCGTCGATCACATCGAATTTTTTGATCTGTGTAGTAAACAGGTTTTAAGGAGAGAGTGAGATTATCAATGATTATTTAGTCGTATAAAACAACGTATCAAACATGCTCTTTTAATTTTAATATTTTTTTCATCTACATTGATTTCTTAATTATTTCACCGACTGCTATTCTCAATTCTCCTATACAATTCGCTGGCATTTCAAATAACTTCCTCTCTTCCTGTTTATTTTCACTATGCTTCCAGTCTCGTTACCAAATACGCATCGTGACTCGAGCCGGGAAAACAATCAACGGGACGGAAGATCGCGGCAGGGCGCGTCCCCGTTGTCGCCGTCATCGTCGTTGTCGTCGTCGTTTTCAATCGGCGAACGCAGGTTCAAATCGCCCGTAGCCTTTATCAACGGGATTTAATTAACTCTCGAGGAAAGTAATAATGGCGCATTTTACATAAACTCCCGCGGCGGCGAGAGAGCGCTGAGGAGTGTCACCTGGGACATCGATTCATTCGGGAAACGCGGCCTCGTTATTGCGTCGTTCCTAGGTGGGATAACAAAGCGCAGCTGCGATATCGCCGTCTGAAACAGTCCCCGAGTTCTCCGGCCGCGTACTCGCGACGAGTATCGAACGTATAATAACTCCATCGTGCTCTCGGCGTTTCCTATCTCGCCAATTGCAGGCGGCGGTCGAAGTTTTAAGAGAAGACCCCTCTCCTCGTCCCTCTTCCGGCCCACCAGCGAGTTCGTAAAACGAGACTCGCGATCGTTTCTCTGTTTTATCTTGTCTCTCGCTGATTATATTCACCGGGTTTCATCTCGAATGCGTTTACATTTCGCATTCTCCTATACTCTGCTTCTCTGCATCTGTGCTCACTAAATGTCACATTTGCATGTGACAAACTGATACATTTATTATTATATGTTACGCTATTAATGCAGCATTGATCTACCAATGCAATATTCTGTATATAGCATCAACCTCTTTAGTGACTGCGCGCTTCTCCATAGGATGGTTCTTATTCTTTTTAAATGAGCACATCTAGATTTTTCTTTTCTTCATTGAAAAGTAGAATATATTTAACTTTCACTTGTAATTGCCAAGTGAATTAAGAAAAATACAATAGTTTCAGTAAATAAAAAGAACTTAATATCTTATCACGAAACTTTTTTGGGCATACCTTAATCCTACTTAATCCTTAATTCGTGATTAATCCGTGATTTTTACATATATAGTCTTCCATTTTTGTCCATGTTCCATTTTAAGTAATTATAAATCAAGATACGTTTTAAATATAAAATAATAATTTTTGAGCATAGCAAATTAAAAGCATGTATTTAAGAAATGCTTCATATTGATTTCCACATGTTCGCTTAAGGGTTGAGGGAGTAATAGCACTTCGATTATCATTTAATTGTCATGAAATTTAACGTTGATCTATACTTACATCAAGAGCTGACGACAATTGTGAGATATCCAGGTATTGTCCATGCACTGTGAGGAAAAAAAGTTTCGCTAATTTAACAAAATGCCGGTATCTGACCCCATAATGGAGATAGATGATTTGTTCAAATTTACTACTCTAAGCAACACTTGTTGCTTAGGGCAACAATGGAGACGTAAACTGACCTAATCGAAACAGACAAGAACGAATGTAACTAGTATCTCGGGCAATGTATGTGCTTGTAAAAATGTGAAGAATGATGAGAAATGATTTGCGAAGGTAATCAAACAGCAAACGTGCTCTTGTTCCACGATAACCGAGGCTTTTTCCTCAGTGTGAACATGCCACGCGATATATCGTGTCCGCAGAGTACGGAGATCCGCGAAATGGGCGCGAAAAATTGGCGCGATCGTCGGCCGTGCGCGCGGGCGCAACGACGGCCGTCGTAGAGCGGCGCGGCGAGTCCAAGTTTGATTAAGTGGCGGCCGTTAGCCGCGTGCACCAGTATTAGCGAACTTGCCGAGAACTTGTTCATTAATGGATCGGGGCTCTCCCGGACGCCTTGGGTAAATCCACGCTGTAATCCGACGGGCGAGCTCGTCGGACGGCAATTGAAACTGCCAACGGCAGCCGAACTGCCGTCCCGGGTCGCCCGCAAGTAATATACGCGCGTATAATTAGTTGCGTCGCACACTCGATAGCGCGCTCCGTCGGGGTGATTTGTTGGACATGGTAATTTTATCGCTCGCGTGTATGTCCACGTGGCGTGTTTCCGCCGAACGAGGCCGCGCAGAGATTGCGGATGCTCGCTACGGCGCGCTCGATGCTAACGAGGATCGATATTTGGCTGTCGGCGATCTTGTGTGAACTGACCTCTCGTCGGTATTGACAATTAATATTGTGTCTTAAGAGGATGCTGGAGTTGATGATGAGCTCGAAAAAATGTCGATAACGTAGAAGGGATCGCGTTCTCTTCACGCCAGCAGAAAACACGCATACATAAAAATCATCTGCAAACTTTTCGTATACTTTTCAGCTCCCACATTCAGCTGTAAAAATACAGAAATAAAAATTCGAAATTTTCGTTAGCAGAGAAAACGCGGTACGTACCTTTGCTTCAGTTTTAAGCTCTGCATAACTTTTGTATTAAGTACAAAATACTTACACCAACTAACAGTTCGACATGTCGATTTCAAGATTTTGTATTGTTTCCATCGCGCATTGATCAATACTCCAACTCATTACTGCGCATACTTTCAGTGTGCAAAAGCGTTTGTAATACTGTGCAGCCGATATACGTAAATCTTGCAGAAGTCGGTATTTGGCCGGTAAAGTTTTCAGGCATGGTATTCGAGCGCGCTATCGTTCTCGCGAAGCGCATTGTTGTCACGATGTACGGTAAGGAAAGCACCCTCGAAAATATCGTTAGCGTATCCTCAGCTCGCGTTACGTTCGAAATACGGTCGGCCGGTCGGTTGGTCGGTCGGTAGACAACGGAAATTGATGATGACAGAAGAGCGGGAACTTCACCGTCCGGAAATTAGTGACTCGAAGTAGAACACGGAGAGCACAGGTGCGCCAGATAAAAATATTAGAGGAAACTCCGCTGCTATTGCCGGTCTACGCGATTATCGACCACACAGATCGGCGGGTTTGCTCACTGTGCAATTTCTGAACGCACGACGATCTATCTCTCGCCGGATCGAGTATTAAAATTACGCAATATCGAGTAAACTCCACTTACCTGCCGAGTTTTCTTGTACTTTTATCAGTATGTCGTTTCTCTCTTCATTACACTGGTCGTATTTTGATGACAAAATTAAATCATACAAATTATATCAGTGAAAAACATCCCATGAAAACATTAAAGAACTAAACTACATATAACGATTTCAACCACGAAAGAGTGTTTCGCCAGTTGAGTGACAACTGACGTGTGATTGGCCGCAGAATCGGAAATTGCTGAGATAGATGACAGTCGCGGATTTTCAAACGTCGATAAATCACGGGATCCGGGACGAAGAGGATGCCGGAGGGAGGAGATGAGAATCGATCAATGAAATGCACACATGTTAGAAAAACATTTACATATTTATATATATAAAATATAATACAATTTGTTACAGTGTGTAGATGATAGTGTAGCGTTTAGATGTTAATATCGAGTGTAAATCGGGTAGGTATAAATCTAAGAGCATTATGGAAGGATAGGGCGTTCGGTGTATGTATATTATAAAGATATAAGACGCTGTTCAGCCACACCTATCCGCAGTAGGTATCGAATGTGTGTGTGTAAGGTGCCTATGAGGTTCGCGTCGGACGTCGTTTAAATCTAAAAACTATATACAGGACATTCTATATTTACACGCACACGCTATCCGCCCGATTTCCCTTATATGCACTCTCTCGCGTTTACGCATTACCGCTTCGATCGCCATACGCTGTCTTTGCTCTCCGACAAAGGGCGCGCAAAACTCGCGGAGAGCCGGCGATCGCTAAATCCTCTACGTACAGTACATACATTTTCGATTTCCCGGCCTTCACCACATACTCGTCGAGCCCGCGGCGACCTCGAACGTCGACGTCGATCGACTTTGCGCGCACTCGCGCTCCAAACGGGGAATCGTATCCCACTCGAATTCGGTTCGGTACTCCCGGTGGAATAAACATTTTTGTTGGGAAGTGGTGGAAGGTGACGTCGCTACTTCGAGACGCCGCGAGGCGATTCGATTTTCCGCTGCCGTCGTTGTCGTCGTCGCCGCTGTCGTCTTCACCGCGACGAGGATTTTGCATTCGAGAAAAGGGGGAATATATTCTGTTGACTCTGCGGTTATTCTCCGCGCGCGCGCGATTCCCGTGTAATAACTCCGTTCGCCGGAAACACGCGTGTTCTAATTTGCGAGAAAAGAGGGACGCGGATATACGAGTCGTTGGAAAAGTGCACGGCTTAATAGAGAGATAGCGCGAACTTAGTCGAATCTCTTTATTACTCATATCTCAGAGTCTTTCTTCAATAAGTTGAAAGTGATCTGATGATTAGTGTTTGGGTGACGGTGCGCCAAAGTGGAACGCCTCGAGTGTCTCGGTGCGTGTTCATTGTTTCACGGCTTGGCTTGTTTTTAGAGTGAAATGGTAGAACCAGGTATCATCGACAGTTATGAGTCGGTGCTGAAAGTCCCTCAGACTGCGACAAAAGCATACCAGGAGAAACAATGAAACTGTTGAGCTGAGTGTTTGCTGGTGTGACCAAACGCAGGATCCGTCGCTCGCAGAGCTCACTTTGGCGCACTGTGAGACCAAGACCAATGGACAAATCGCTCCATACTATCACACTTAGCTAATGAAAGAAGGCGCTGTCATACGGTACTCTCTTAACCCTTTCAGTCTTAAGAGTGAAATTTTGAATTTATTTATATTAGGGCATTTCTATGACTTAGAATATACATAAAATTCAAAAATATACAAAAATTTTTTTCAAAAATTTGCCATTTTCAAAAAACAAAGCAAGGTTCGCAAGATTTGCAACTACTTGAAGCTCCGTAATGGAGAATAGAACATTCATAATCGTATGGTGTCGGACTGAATCACTTAGCGAGAGCGGGGGAAAAGATAGAGTGGCAAAACCTGACCCACACAATTGTGGATATAGGGACTGAAAGAGTTAAAGTAAATCAGTGAATAATCACTGATATCAGTTATAAGTATAGCATTGAGCACTTTCAGTTCAACACTTATAACTGCAAATCAGTGTATATTCACTGTTTTCAGATGTTTCACTGATTCATTTTAAGAGAGTAGATGGAGATTTAACCAAGTTCTCGCGCCATTTCCGTAGGTCACGTGTTTTTTTTTTTCCGAACGACCCACGTATATATTTCACGATCGGGTGTTGAAGAAGCGATCGATATCTCGAAAGGACAAATTCGCTCCGGAGAAAACGTGTCGCCGGTCACGCGTCGTCGAGGAGGTGGTGAACACCGGCAATCTCGTGACGGAAAAGAAGATCGTCTAATATACGCCTACGTACGATACAAGATCATCGAGTATAAATGGCGCAATATAACGACGCTCTACCGTTATATCTAAACGTAATTCATTAATTAGCCCACTTTAAAGGACATTTACTCGTGACGCTTTTTTTCGCTTGATTGTTCTGTTCATATCACCGGCGGTACCTAGCACCCATCCGCGTCGCCGACGATCCGCGACGGCGGATCGCCCCCGATTGCCGTCGTCGGCTCATCGCCGACGAGAATTATCGACTCACCAAGAACGAGGACGAGACACCGCGTCGTCCTCGCTCATTGCGCAACGATGCTTACGAGCCCGTTCCCGACGAAGCCAAAGATCGCCCGACATTCAGCGAATCCTAGGACGCGTAACGGAGTGAGAGAGAAGAAAGAGGGAGGGATGGAGGAGTAAAAAAAGGAAAAGAGAGAAGATAATACAGCGAAAAAACTGTGGTGAAATCGGTCGAAAGGTTTAGCTAACACTTTCAATCGCCAAACTGGTCTCGTTGAGATCGATCAGACGCGCGCATTGTCGACTTATCTCGAGGAAAAAGGAAAGCATGTCAACGTGTCGGATATAAAACCGCGATGCTAATTTGGGTATTCGATATATCAGAGGATTTCGAAAAATTGACCCGAATAAAATAACACGTCCTCATAACAATAACATAAACCCTCACAGCTTTTAGTTACTAGCTTAGCTTTGAACTAAACCTTGTTTAGCTACGAACTGAATCTTGACGACTAAAACAAGACAACTGAACGCGGATGATTGCTTCTGAAGGAAGTTTCAATCTTTCGGTTTATCTTTCAGGTGTACACAGTGTAAAAACGCGAGCACGGCGCATATCCCGTATGTGTGTGTGTCCTTATTTAACGGATCGTCGATGTAAACATTCCGTTTGGAGCCGACGAATTTCTCGAAAAATATCGAGTAACTCTCCGCAGCGGAAGCTCGCGCTCGCGGCTAACGGTTTATCGGTGAAAAAAGCGAGGGAGAGAGAGGGGAAAAAGGAAAAAAAAATAGCCGGCCGCGGTGTAGCCGTCTCTTTGCGTATAATAATTGTCCGGCGTGTGCCGTCGTGAGTTATCGAAAATAGTTGGCCGAACAACTATGAACCATCGAGCACCGTTGGGAGTCGACGTCATACGCGGATTTATCGTCTGGCAACCGCTTCCTCCCCCCTCATCGCCAGGATATAGTTCTCGCCCGTTCTCGCGGTTGAAACGGGACCGATCGGAACACAATATTCGCGTAAAGCGATATACCGGCAGTTCTCGGCAATTTCGACTCGACAAGTACAGCGCGTGGTCACCAGCGAATGACCTCCGCGCCGCTGGTGACCCTTAAGTGGTCGATGGCGATCGGAGACCGCGTTGTCTCGTAATACACGGAAAAAGCAACTCCGTTAGAGCGTAACTGAATTCTCTGTTACTTGGGGGGAGGGGGGACCAGATGAAAAACTCGCTCGTGGGAACAAAGACTCCCTGTAGGAGCTTTCCGCTCAGCCAATTGCTCTCGGTTATCTTGACTCGAGTTTTCATGCAGCTGTGAACGTTCTCGGATGAGCGTTTTCAACTCACAGTACTCGGGGATATTGTTACTCGCCAGTTTCTCGCCTGGTACCCACGCGCACCAACTGAAATCTTTTTTCTTTTCCTTTTCCGCATACGAACAAAATTGCCTCACACGGAGATAACACTTTTCCGCCTTCCGCTCTTTCGTTTTTCTCTTTTTTTGCAAATTTCCATTTGCGCATAAGCTACGTCGCAATTGTAAGTCGCTCATCGACGCGATGTGTGGTTCCGTCGCTGTAACCTTACCTTTCCCTGGCTCGTATTTTCGCTGATAAATTTCATTCACTTTTGGCGGGGAAATGTGGGTTCATACTATGCTCTGCAACTAAATGGGGCGTCGCAACATGATATTCTCGGCAAAGTTGTCGCGACTACTTAAGGGTTAAGGTACGGCCACTCGATTGCTCCTAGAGTCTTCTCTATACATACACACGCGCGCGCACACACACACAGACAGATTTCCCTATGACATTTACGAATTACCAGTTAGTATTAAATTGTAAAACGTAGCTACGTGTCCGATTACCGATTAGTCGCGCTACGTTGAGACTTGGCTACATTAGAAGGGGATGGGGAGGAGGAAGGAGCGCAACTCTTTCCGATCTAACACCGAAAAACGTGAGGTGCCGAAAAGGTGGAGAAGTAGACGCGAAAGGAAAAGTTATTCAAATAATTCGGAGATGACTTGACCAACAGAGCTCCCCGTTATTTTCTTTTTGTTTTACGCTTTTTTTTTTGGTTTTTTCTTATTTATTTATTTTTTTGCTTTTCTCCTATTAATACCGCACGGTGCAAAGTTGAAGTAACGGTAATGGCGCGTGTTCGGGGACACCTCCGTTTCGTTTGATTTCAAAGTGAAATAGAGTAAAGAACAAATCCGAGTCGAGAGAGAGAGTCATTTAAATGGAAATTATCGGGAGAAGCTTTCGAGTCGAATGCAAATCGCGATGCAGATTGTATCGATCAAAAACGTTGGTTCAATCCCCGGACGTTGGCGAGTTCACTAGGCACGTCGTAGACATATATTTATTCGCATCGTGTAACCGATACAAGCACGTACGGCTAACGATAATAACGATTACGATCAGAGAGAATGTCTGGTAATATTGACTGCAAACCATAAGCTCTCTGGTGTGGAATAAACGCGACTTTGGTAGAATCGGATAGATTCCGTTTCCGAGGTGATAACACCTCGCGAAGTGTTGCATTGTAACGCCGGAGACAGACTGGATCGTGGCTTTCGCGAAAATCATAATCGCTAATTCAGCTTTTACCCTTACTGATCGATCGATCGCAAATTATCGCACGGTCAAACGCACATCGATCACTCCTCGATCGACGATCGTTGCGGATCATCACCGGATAATTAAAGTCACACCTGTGCCGGAGACAGTGTCTGCCTGCGATGCGTCAGACTCGTCGAAAATCTCGTGAGTGCGAGGGTGTGTGTTGACGCGTGTTTATATGTAACATTGTAGGAAAGAGAGAGATGTGTCGGGTCGCGCAAGTAATCGCTTTATACATTAAATAAAGAATAAATAACCGCCCGTGCACGGATCGACGAGCATTTTGGACAAGCGCGTGAATAACGTTACACGTAATAAACTGTACAGAATATTACAAAGAGTTGTCGGGTATGTATAATATGTATATTTATATATATATGTATAGTGTGTGTTTCTCTATTTATATATTTATATATAAACGTTGGTTAAGTAACACCAGTCGCGAAACGCTCAACGAAAGAGAATATTACTGTTCCTGCAACGAGACTTAGATTCTCGCACGGAATTGCCATCGCGTGCAAATCAACCAATGCTTATACGATCATTGTTCGAGTAATAAAAATGAAAAACGTCGCTATCACTATCGCTACCATCTAGTCAACAAAATGTACAGACTTGGGTGGGAACCGTGCGAGCGCGACTCGTTTCGTGGCCATCGAAATCATCGTGACTCGTCCGAGCAAAATAATGTTCCTCGGGAATCGAGATTCTCACTTCCATAAAAACGAAATAAAATCTCGCGAGCAATCTCTTCATGATAAATAAAAGTGCGTTGAAAAAAAGCGATAATGTACGTTAATTCTGGCTGCTATTTAACTAATAATTTCTTTTTTAATTATTTCGTTGCGTGTGAGAGAAATTCATAAGATTCTAAACTAAAACATCAATTCGACAACTTTGCATATTTATTATTTCTTCTGTGGATTCTCGACTCGACTTTCTTTGCTTCATGGAAAGGCAATATCTGGAGGAAAATTTCTTCTCGTGCTCCGAACGAACCTACGACTAAATTCAAATCGGAACCGCGGCAAACTCAGTCGCTGTGTCCTCTCCAACGGGAGAGAAACATAATCCTTAGCCCGCTTCGAAAATCGCGACGCCTCGCCCGGTTCCCGAACAGCAAATAAACAGCCAACAATTAAGCTCTCTCGTAAGAAGCTTGAAAGTAATTCGCGTCGAGACGCGGACGATACGCGAAAATTCGCATATTAGGGTATCTCTCGCTCGGGGTCGTCGGCCGATAAGGTCGCGCGCAATGAAAAATCAAACGGCATTCTCTCTACGCGTTCATTATTAAATGTCATCTCCTCCGCCCATCGAGATGGATCAGATACATTTTAATGCTGCCTGAAAGTAGCTTCGGTTCGTGACACAGCGCGAGATAACCATCGCGGAATCGATGACGGTAGAATCACGACAATGAATCACATTGGGTGATGACAGTGAGTGGCAGCTTTATCGGGCAGTGTGATCGCGGGAGATTAACTAATGAACTAAAACTGTAAATGAATAGTGAAGTCACCAGTGCCGCAACGTTTGTATCCCGCCGCGTCGCTCACGGGAGATGAGTAGTTCGATCGTTATCAATCCGTAGATTGTTAAACTGTACGAATCAACGGTTGCATTCTACAACCGAGTTGTATTCACGGATCGTAAGCCAATCAAAACGCGCCGCAAACAATTTTCTTCGCGATACTTTGTTTGGATAATCGCTGCCTCTTTCTCGGGTCACGCAATATGTGTATCGCCGCGAGTAAATTTCGTTTGTTCTTCTCGTGATCGAGATACTGTGTGTCGACTATGCTTTTGCATAAAATACTGTTACGGACCCAAAAGCTTTGGAATTATCGATCTCTTGATTTATCAGAGAGAGAGAGAGCTCGAGATTTGCCTTGACAAATCGATTTTTTCACTTTATAAAGATCTCTTGACATTATTAATACATACAATCGAGACATACACAAAAATTCTGCAATTATTGTCTCTTGATTTATCAAAGAGTTCGAGATTTATCTCGAGATTTATCTCGATAAATAAAAAAATCTCCTAAACTTTTAATTTTATTAAAAATCTATTAAGTCGATAATATTAACACAAATCAACGAGTCGAGACTGATCTCGATGAATGAAAAGATTTTGTGATATCTTAATTTTGTTACAAATCTCTCGCTATTATCAATACATGTCGAAGCGAGACGGCGAATGTACACCGGAATAGAGAAAGCCGCGGCGATATTTATTTTCGCCGTCGAGATGCAGCTTACACTTCGACTTGGACGCGTCGCCAATGCACACGCGACACGGCCAACGAGCTCGCATCCGAGAAATATCCCGCCAGGTCAGTGGTCCCGCGCGCGAACGCACGGAACAGCACGGATTTTCTACGCGATAGCGTATCTCGAGTGCGCGATAAACGCGACAGTCCCGGGTTTAAATAATAATACGTGTGACGCTCAAACGAGAGAATCGTCGTGACGCACGGTGTTGTTACGCGCGGACTGGGACACGTCTGTCACGCTCGAAGCACGTCGTATCGCAAACACCTCTCTATTACGTAACAATGGTGCGCGCGCGAGGGCGGAGGTCGCGAAAGAGAAAAGCCGATCGCGAAACAAGGACGCGATAGATCCGATCCTTCGCGCTCGGTTTCACCGCTGGCTAAATTAATGCGTTGCACATCCGCTTCCGCTCAGCGCAGCGTCATTAACTCTCTCACACTCCGCGTCTCACCCCCTTTCCACCCTCTCTTTGCGTCTCTTCCTCCTTCGAGCTTTGCCAAATAATTTTCGAATTCCGGGATGAGAACGTTTCAATAGTCTCTCACCCCAGGTCCCGAAATCGCGCGTGTGCTCGGGGATTAAACTATATACAGAGGAGAATATTGAAGAGTCTAAGACTTTTAGAACGCTCCGTCAAACCAAAAATGTCAGAATGAACTTGCTCGAAATAGACGCGGCGAAAGTGTTCTCTGTACATTTATTTGCTACCTCGTAGATGTTCCCGTAAAAATAGCGGCTACAGCGTACATATATGTGTATGTATACGTATATATAGAGTCATTCTCGTTTCACGATACACGATGAGAGAACGATACGGCAGTTACAGCCTTCTTCTTAAATCAAGACGTCAAATATCACAGAAGCGACAGCTCTACGTGGAGAAACGACTCTAATAATCGACGAAATAATCGGTAGATACGTTCGATTTTTTTTGTGTGTGTTTTACTGTGTCACACCTTTACCGTTCGCGATTCTTCATTTCGACACTGTCCATGACACATAAACTGTAAAGCTACGTTGGAAAGGAGAGAATTAACGTTCCTCGCCGGTGAAACCGAGCACCGTGTACGGCGATGGATGAGAGACGCCCCTCTCATATCTCGATGTGTGTGACGCCACCGTAAAATTACCATAATTTTATTTCAACACCTATATATAAATCGAGATAACGTGGATCCGGTAATTTCCACTACGTCTTCTATGATATATGTATGTATATAGGTTTCACCTACATCCTCCTGACCGAATGGTGATTGCAATTGTCCTTTCCCCCACTCGCAGAAGTGCGGCCGAAGGCTGGCGAACTCTTCGCGATGCGCGCGTGGCCGAAGAGTTTCCGCGCGAGATGCTTATTTCAACCGTCACGTATGAATCCAGTCTCGAAATATTACGTGCGTCAGGAGACGGCGCGATGTAACGTCAGCACCGCGAGATTTCCGAGAGCAATGCTCACGTCGCTTCGTGGAAAATAAACGTCTCCTGTCGTTGTCAGCGCGCGCGCGTCCCGATTGCGTTACGAGCTTCCCCGACTTGGTCGTCGCTGCCACAAATGTGCCGCATTTGCTCGTCCGGACGATAATGAGGAGTCAAAAGAGATGGAAAAATTCCATCGCCGAATAACGCGTCACGACGTGTGCGAAGAGCACGCCAGCAGGTGGCCGGGCCGCGCGCCCACCTTCACGCAACCGTCCACCGCTCCGCAAAGAAGTACCGATCGAATCTGCCGACGAATCCCGGGCGGCTCGTGGAACGATGATAACATCTATATCCTAGCAGCTAAGTTGTCGCGTCGCTGAGATTGGCATGTACTTACATGAACGTACGCGCGCACGCATGCAGCGTGTGCGCGCGTACGCTCCGGTCGTTGCTGGGTTCGCCGCGGGTTCGATCGCGATGGATGACTCCGTCAGGGGTGATCCCGGCACCGAGGGAAATCGGCCGGTCGCGCGGCGACGACGTTCACCTGAACGCGGCGCCGACGGCGACCGTGGCAACGGCGAGGATCATCGCCGCCGAGACCGTGCGGCCGGACGAGCTGCCGGCCGTCGGTCCCGCGTCGCTGCTACGAGACACTTTGCTGCGCACCAGCTGGCCCCGCTCGACCGCGTTCGACTCGTCGCTGTCGGGGTCGACCGGCGCGCCGATGTCGTCGTCTTCGCTCAGCAGCATCGACAGCTTGTTGCGCAGCGGCTTCTTGGCGCAGGGCGCGCTCGCCTCCTCGTATGGCCTGAGGATGCGCGGGTAGTGCACCTCGAGGTTGTCCGTGCCGGGCAGGGCGCCCTTGCCGCTGCCGCAAAGCGGCTTGAACGTGCCGCTGCGGGTGACCTCTTGGAAGCTTTGGAAGTTCGTCACCCAGTCGTAGCCCAACAGACGCTCCTCCAGCGTCAGGCCCGCCAGCTGTTTCGGCTCCTCGATCATCACCGGGCTGGAACCCCTGCTCCAAATTTAAGTGTTTTCGTAGAGTCACTGTTCCTCCTGTCACCGACCTTGCTTTCATATATTTTGCAACTGTTTTTTTACACTCAGTTTTGCACGCTATTCCCGTTATTTCAACGCAATTTTATCCCGGCCTCTCTATTTTTGATATCTTTTTATATCACGTTTTATAGCTCTCGCTCGCTCTCTTGTAAAACGCAATTCGCTTATATGCTTATCTTCTTTTCTAATATTTCGGAATATTTTTTAAACGAGATTTATTAAAAGAATGTATAAAACTTTCTATTTATAGTGAAAGAGACATATTTTCCCGTCGATCTACGTTTATCAGAGTTATGGAAATATGTTAAGAGAGGGACCGCAAGGTCTCGCGAGAGATCGACAGATGCCAAAGAAAGTGTGATAAAGCTGAGGAAAATCACGATGTATCCGATAAGTGTTACGTAACGTTACGTCGAGCAGCATGTCTGCGCCGCGATATAACCGTCGCTCGTTGAGTTAACGACAGTCGGCGCTTTCGTGACGTACAGATTGTCCCTAATAGCCAATTTAGAGCGATCAGAGAGCAAAACGTCGGACGATTGTCGTTTGCATAGGGCCATATAAACGTTCCCGGTGGCAACGTGCGGTGCGACGACTTGCGTGTCGTCTTAATGCGTCATCAAACGTCGCGCAAGCGATGCGTCAAACGCGCGATCGTAACGACAGTTTTAAGAGACGACAAGAATACGAATGGGCCGCGAGGCAGATTTACGTCCAAGATGATAAAATACGATTAATCGAATATCAATGAAAATATTTCCTGAAACTTTATACCTAAAAAAATTTAATCTTATCCTCAGCAGAATCTTCTTATAGCTTCAAGAAAATCCTTCTGAAGTCGTAAGAAAAATAATCTAATACTCAACATAATTAGAGAGGATTTTCCTAAAACTAAAAGAAAGATATTCTAATACTCATAAATAATACTCATAAAACTCTAGTTACATGGTGCTATTTACTGTATTCTAAGCGAAAACTTTTACTGAAAGAATATTTCTTTTCTAATGAAGAAAATTGACTCAATTTATTTAATTAACAGGAATAAAATTCTTTTAAATGTACAAAATTACAAGAAGAGAAGAACATATACAAAAATTGATAAATATATTCATTCGTCGATATATACATCAAATATATACATCACAAGTCCGTGCTTAAAATATTTTTACTAGTTTATTTAGTTTTAGAAGAATGCTCTTCATCTTATATATGAAAGAACTTCGCTAAGGATAAAAGATTAAATTTCTTGGAATGTAACTCTTCTTATATATGTCGTCTCTCGTCGCAGATCGCATAACCATTCTTCGTTGACGACGGTCGCGCGCGAATTAACGAAAGTATTTAGGAACTTACTGCTTTAATTTCTGGATTCCCAAGCTGTGCAGTACGGTCGGTAGCGACGGTAAAGAATAACAGAGAGACAACTCAATGCGCGGATAATAGAGAGCGGACACCAGGCAAGTTTCTTCTCTCGTCCCCAAGCCGCCGAGCGTGATGGCCCCCCGGGTTTCGGACGAGTACGTGCATTCGGCGACCAAGTGATCACCCTGTAATATAAAAAGAATCGCCGAACGTGAGCATCGCCGAGCCATATAACGGAGAATCTTAAAAGTTCGAGGACTTTAGTGCGGTCGATATAATCCGTAATAAAACGAAACAACACCCGCGCCGTTTCGTATAGTCCCCCCTTCCTCCCTCTCTTCCTCCTTTTCTCTCTTTTTCCGGTCGTGTATTATTTCTCAATATAAAATCTACACGAAAAAAAGATATGACGCACATAATCAGAAATATTTAGCTGTGAGCAACACAGTTGCATTATCCCAGTCATCTCTGTGTGATGGTAATGTATGATTGATGGACATGATATAATTGATGTGACTCAGTTAATTTGTCAATCACATCAATCACATCAATGTCATTGCGCGTGATTTGTACTGAGAAAAAAGCCTGGTATTAATTATAATTACATAGAGAAATAATTACTTTATGGTTAAATTAACCATAAAGTAATTTATGGTCAAAGAAACCATTTTTTACTAAATCCTATTATAATGTAACAATCTTACATGCATGTTACAATTACTATTTTTGCGTTAGAATAACAAAAAAAGCTATAATTTTAGTTAAAACAACCATTTTTTCTCTTAGTGTGGCGATCAGAAATTAATTGGAGTGATGTTTACTGCGGATACATCCTGGAGTAACTAGACATCGTTAGTGCTGCCAGTAACTCAGCAATTGCTCTGTGGTTACAGCAACCACAGAGTAATTAGTTGCTCCATATTTTGTTATTGAAACTAGTTGTGTAGCACAACAAGATTTACGTGTCGCCAACTCTGATTTTTTCCGTGTACAATGATCTTAATTCGCATATATCTTTTGCGACACGACGTGATCGTGATTATATTTAATATTTAAATCGCAATTTTTTTCGATCGTATCGTAACGCGAAATCGTTTTCTTATGTAAACCGATTAAGTACATCGATTTGGTTTCCTTACTATTATAATTTTTCGCCGCGTTAACACGTAATAACGTTCAAATACTGCCGGTTCGAAAACAATTAAACTCAGGTTCATGCCCTGCATCCGTAGCATGTCTGCACTTTACGTGATCAAAGCTATACTTATTGCACGTTAATAAACTTTGTAACAAGCTCATAAACTTTCTGATACGTGCTGTGCGTTATAACGCGGCTTATACCACGCTCACGACAGCATTAACGAAAGCCGTGCAACGTGGCGGAAACAGAACAGAAAAATAAGAGCATTAAACGGCTACTGTGGATACGTGTATGTATAAAGAAAGAGCTGCACTCGCGCAGCGTCTAAGAATAATATCTCGGATTACTTTGGTAGGGAAAATCTCGACGGATAGAGAGAGTTGGAAATCCCTCTCCCGATCCTTTGCGATTCTCTTTCTCTCTTCAGCTAATCGGAGATATTTTATAATTACATCTAGCTAAGACAATCGCTACGGGAGAGATGAAAGTCGATAAATTGGATTCTGATATGAAGGTGAAACGAGAGCTTTATTCTTTAGCTCGGTAATGCGTCCCGTTTTTCTTTCTCCGAGTAATTATGCTCGCGACGGGAATGAATAAAAAATTTGAAAATGCGAATAAACAAAAGAATGCCCTAAGTGACAATTGCATTCGTTTTTCGTAATAAATCAGCCAAAGTACACGACGCAATATAGTATTGATCCTTTATTACACTCTTATACACTCTGACAGATGAGAGTGTAATGAGGATACTCACGATTTGCCTGAATCTTTCGTTGCAGTTGCGACGTCGCATGTCCTATATATCATCACTTCGCTTCCTCAATCATAATCGATTACTGCGCAAACGCACCAATAATGTCTCGCAATTACACAGACATCTACAATATACCAATGGACCGTAAGAGCCTTGAGACACATGTCCCAGTGTATAATGTACCACTACACATCCGACACATAATGTATCGACTCAGTACCCTCTCACAGGCGGAGAATTCTTGTATTTATGGAGTGACTGCATTCCAATTAGTCACTAAGCCCGCTGCCAATGCGTTATTTGAGTACATAGCTCTTGGGTAAATTGAATCTAAGGAGTGCATAACGAGGTTCACGATCTAGTACATTACAGATATCTGTGTTCAATTGTGGCAATTGGGAGCGCTGCCACTCGATTTGGAAAAAACGTGTGCAAATCGTTTTGCGAGCGAACGTACATTGTTAATTGATTAGTTTATTTTCATCGTGAGATTGCTGGGTCACTAATTGGCACGTTCATCTTAAAAGAAACGAGTGAAGAAGGGAAGAAAGTGACATGACGTTGAAGAACGTTGAGAACATCGTCTCTTCCTGCCGGCGCGAGCTTAGATGAGCCATTTAAACGATACTCACCGGGTACACCTTAATCGGTCGCTGCAACCTCCGATATTCCTGATAATTGGGATTGTAGTTGACGTCGGCGGCGATTGGCGGCAGCTCCTCGCCAGCGCGGATCTGCCGTAGGCGCACTTTCCTGCCAAGTTGGTGGGTGTGCATGATGACGGCGAACATGTTGATGCCGGTGTTCGGTATCGTCTGTTCGGTGCAGTCGGAGATGCAGTGGCCCTCAGAGACCACCTCGTGTTGGCCGGGCGGTATGATGTGCCGCCAGTTCGGGTCGATGCCGACGCTGAGTATGCCGGCGTCGTGGACGCGCACTTGCTCGGTGTAGAGAAGACGTAGGCCGCTGCTGTCGCTGATGAAGGCGTCCAGCTGCGGGTTCGTATAGTGCGTCTCCAGCATGTAGTAGTGAGGCCCGTTGGACGGATTGAGCGGGTATCCGGCCTCCGGCGGATAATTAAAGCCCTGGTGCAGCGCAAGGGAGAAGGAAACGATGGATTATGCAGAAGCCGAGCCGGTAAATAAAAACAGGACCGGTGCCAGCGCCGGCAATGAGCACGCCGCTGCCGCCGTCGCCGCCACCGGTCCGGTTCTGATCGGAGAAGAGCTGCGATCTGGTCGGGTCTGATCCGTTCCCTGCCCCTGACGCGACGCTCTCAGCTCGTAATCGGTGTACACGCCGCGACCGGTTCGATCATCCATCAGCGAGCGGGGCCCGCTGGAAATTGTCGCTCACGGAATTCGTTTCCTTATTGGCGGGGCGCGCGCGCGCACACGCGAATTACCCGGCCCGGTACGTAGGCTAATTCTCATTTTCGGACCGTCGATGACGAGCGCGAGATAACGATCCGGTCGATTCGCGGAATCGCGCCGCTGATCGCTGCCTTAATAACCGCCTCGGATCTAGATTTATCGCGGCGATGATTTGGATCGCGCGCATCGTACGATGTTTGCATTATTGAACGGGACTTCTCCTTTTATCTCAGGACTCCGAACTGAAATTCTATCGAGCACTCGCGAGTTTCGCTAAAATTATCCCGCGATGCCGCGCCTTATCCGTCATGGAGATTTTCCTTAATATTTCATTGTTTTCCATCTGACGTCGAGATTCGCTCAGCGACGCGCGCGTGACGGTGTTACTACGCGAATTTAAACACTGACGTCACCTAATCGCGAAATAGGGCGTAGCAGCGGCGAATTGATTCGCCATCGAGAGGAATACGAATAAAGCATAAGTGCAAAGGTGAAATTAAAAGCTGCCGCTGAATAAATCATCGAATATGACGGCGAGTAATCGCGTCCAATCGGTTGACGTTATTATCGACGTATCGCTCTTAAAAATTCCCTGAAAGTCATACGCAAGATCCCGCGATGTCTCACGCTCGATCGCAACTTCGCAGGGTGTTACCGATAACCACGAAGAAGCAAGTTTGCGGTGTTCCTGTTCTCACTATTGGTATGCATTACACCGGACTCGGAATTATCACGAAACTCTGAACGTGTCTTCCACGATCGCGCGTAACTCTCGTCGACGAAGCAGTCGGGCTTACATATAGTAAAGCGACAGATTTTTCAAATAATCGATATCGCGAATTTATAAACTCGAATTACAGAATATCACATCACGTCCCTTCATTAAGAAAAATCTCAAGAGAATTTTTAAAGACATTACCTACTTTGAATAGCTGTTGCATCAAAATATAACATCGCAAAGATTATTTTGCTCTCTCTCTCTCTCTCTCTCTCTCTCTCTCTCTCTCTCTCTCTCTCTCTCTCTCTCTCTCTCTCTCTCTCTCTCTCTCTCTCTCTCTCTCTCTCTCTCTCTCTCTCTCTCTCTCTCTCTCTCTCTCTCTCTCTCTCTCTCTCTCTCTCTCTCTCTCTCTCTCTCTTTCTCTACTGACAACTTGAGCCATTTTACTTCCCAATAACTTGAAGATAGGCTTCGATTCGCGATGAGGAAGTAATCAAATTAGATGATAAAAGAATCTTAATTGACGATATTAGAGTTCGTAATCAATGGGACGGTGGACAAATCTTCAAATTTCGCGATCAGTCTTTTCTATAATTTCTCGGTGTTTCTTATGATTCTCGAAAAAGTGACAATACGCAAAAGCTCGATACTCGCATCGAGGTCTAGTCATGCCAAAACAGCCTAAGTGAAGTTCTTGACGTACCTCAGAACCGAGACTCCAAGTGGCTGCGATCGTGTTGCACTGGAATGCGGGTTTATCAGGAGCGTTACAGACATCCCCGTTCGTTTGAGCCGCGGCCTCCAATTGGGTTTGATTTCCGCGGCACTCGTACAGAGTCATGTGGTGCAGGTATTGGTGGCTTCCCGGCTGAATAACTGGTTCGTACTGAAATACAGAACAGGCGTACAAGCTCGTAACGAGAATCAATGTCGAGTGCATTTCGGGTGTCTTCGCCGCGTATGCATAACTGCGGAACTATGCATGCCTCGGATTTCTTATTGCGGTAAAATCCAGCGAATCAATCGGGAAAAGGAGTAGCAGGGGTCGCGTAACTTCATTTGAAAACAATCAGTCGTATAATTTTGTTAACGGGCATTAATAAAACAAGACACACATACACTATCTCCTTTAAATTTAAGACAAGTTTGGTTTTACGACCAACTGACTTAATTATGAAGTCTTCCCATACACAGCTGCAGTTTCGTATTAAAGCGAGGCGAATATTCGTACGGATTAACCGAATTACTAGTCCGACGGCTAGCTGCGAGTATCGACAGAAAGCAGGAGCGCTTTGCGCGCCTAGGAAGCTGCCGGGTCTTTTTGCCAGTTTAAAGGAAGCTGTTCGAGCGCAAAATTGGAAAAGAGCGCGGACTTAGGCGCAAACGTAACGCGCAGTATCTCTCGCGTGTTCTCTCTCTCTCTCTCTCTCTTTCTCTGTATGTGTGTGTGTGTGTGTGTGTGGAAAACGTGCTGTTCTTCCAATTCATTCTCGATAGGAACAACAAATTAAGGTCCCGGCCGATCACTCGACCGTTAACCTCGGAATTCCTCGCTGCCCCGTCAATGGAAGTTCCGTAAAACGCGAGGGGGATTCGCGTTTTAAGCGGTTGAGTTATCGGAACGCTAATCGTCTCACTCCTCACTGCCCGATCTGCGCCATAGAAACACACAGTGCAATCGCATCGCGTAGTTGAGTCACGTCCGATTGGGTTCGGGATTCAGGTGTCGGTCGGTCGGTCGGTCGGTCGAACGGAAAGATAGAGCGAACTATATCAACCAGCCGCGCATATTTCGCGAGTTCGCCGGGTGCGAACATAAACATCAACAGCGCGGAGGACCGAGGCAAAGTAGAAATGTGAAACACGAGGAATAACGAATAATAGGATAACGAATAACGAGTAATAGGATAACATGACACTCAGGACTAATAGGGAATTCAATAGGGTACAGAAATAGAAGTAGAATTGTTGAGGGAAGAATGCGGCGGAGACTCCGGAGGTAAAAAATCAAACATAGTTCGAAACGAACACGTAGAGATAAAATAAGAGGAGAACGTGGTACTCGCGAAGAAATTCATGCAATGATGAAGCAGTTGGTACAAAAGATTTATCATCTTTGTACTAAATTAGGAAGTCTGGATATTGAAGACGCAAACAAGTCCTCAGATGTCTAAAATAAAAGTGTGATTTTTTTCATCAACGTCGATTAAGCTTTAATCTGAGTTTAAACTGTCTTCAGCCAAAGACCTGAATTCGGGTTAAGATTTAATCGACGTTGGTGAGAACCGGGCTTTACATGCCTAAGAACAGTTGTTTTGTTCATTTTATTTATAAAAACTGTAAATCTTTCGAAATTGAACAAGTTTGTTTGCTACTTTATTTGACAAACATGACAAGCCTTTTGCTAATCAATTTAATAGAAATTTGAAATATAGAAAATAAAGAGAGAATAATAGCAATAATAGAATATGACACAGAATTAATGGAGATATAATAGGGAAAAGAAAAATTAGAAGGAAAGAAGAGTTGCGAAGATTCCTAAGATACAAAATCAAATGTGAAAACGTAAAGGTGGAATAAGGAGAAAACGCGCTACTTGCGAAGAAACTAACCGCGATGATGAAGTGTTAGAATGCTGCAAAAGATTTGTCATTTTTCTATTAAATTCTCAGAGCGAAATTTCAAGTAATGAATGAAACTATGAGTCCTCGGATATCTAAAATAAATCTTGGATGTCTAAGGAACAGATGTTGTTCATTTCGTTCGTAAGAATGATTAATCTTCCGAAATTGGATAATATTGTTTTCTACTTTATTTGACAAACACGACAGGTTTTTTGCACCAATCTAATAGGGATAATAGAATGATATAACAGGATTAATAGAGGTATAAGGTATAATAGATACAACAATAACAATTTGGAAGGAAGGAAGAGTTGCGGGAGCTCGTAGGAGTACAAAATCAGACGTGGAGAACATAGAGGTGGAATGAAAAGGGAACGCGTTACTCGCGAAGAAACTGACGCGACGGCGATGACCATTAGTCACTCGTTCGCTCGTTCCGGCTTTCCGGCAACTGTCGGGCTTCGCTGTCTCGCGCTGAATAACAATCGCGCGAAATTCGGACTGGATTCGGCTGGACAAGATTTTATTGACTTATCATTTGCCTGGCGAGTGGAGCGTAACTTGGAACATAAAACACGAATTACTTGGAAATGTCTCCCGGCTAAATTATTCGCGAACATAAAATTCGCGTCGAGGCCCGGCGAAAGCGTACGAGCGTGTAAACTCCGAAATGCGCACCAAATACAGAGGTATCGTCCGCAATTTTTCTATATCAATGGATCCAAGGATTATGGCTTTTCAAATCGGGAGACCTTTTTTCCAATTTGACGTGAATCCTTCCTCAACGGAAATACGTTCTCTACTATTCATCAGCGGAAATGCGCATCGTATCGCATCGCTTCTCATCTACTCGCGCGTATATTATACACTAGCACGACAGAGATATTAGATTTGGAAATATGAAAAAATGTAAAATACAAGAAAAAAAAGAATTTGATTTGATTAACCAAATATCTAATGAAAAACATAAACAAACCGGAATTCCGATCGAAGTTACCAGAATTTTATTCAAGTTGACAAGAATTCTAGTTAACCAAACCAGATTTCTGGTTAAGCAGAAATTTTGTGAACTTAAACAGAATTGTGTGGTGTAACAACTTCTCTCTCAACCGAAATACTAGAGAAGTTCGTTCATATATTTCACCAGAAATATATTTAGTTCAACCAAACCATTTTTTCCCCTTAAAACTTTTCATGACATATAGAACCAATTTTTTGATAGCAAAAACTACTTGGATTCAAGTTTAAGCTCTATTCCAACAGTGTTGAATTTCATGTGTTTAAACAGAGTTTAAACTTGAGAATCTATGTTGTAATTATAGAAAGTTGTAAATATAGAAAGTTGTAAATATAGAAAGATCGGTCTATAGAGGTACATAATAAAGCCGGCAATCGTGACAATGTTCCACCCGTGTTGTTTTCCCTGGTTCCCGGCGGATGGAGAGCAGTGCAGATCGCGAAACATTAGCATAACGTAAAATACATTCGAGACTATCAGCAATAAAATATTCTGTGTCACGTCGGGTTCGTACGAGCGGACGTCGACAAACACGTTTTACTGTCTGCTCTGCGGTTTACTACCTGTCCGACTGCGATTTTTAACGCGCAATTTGGAGAATCGCACGCTCCTGCATCGGAATGGGGCTTATTACCGTGCCGTGAATCGGTACGTGGTAGTAATACGGGCTTTACGACCGGCTGCTTCGTCACTGTCGCATTTATCGACGACATCTCGCGCATCGATCTGTCATCGTTGGTAGTGAAACCGGCGGCCGGAACGACGAAACGATCTCGCCGCCTACCGCATCGCCCCGATCCCGCCGTCGTGCAGATCCGCCCAGTCGCATATTCGCCACGTAATTTCGCAGCCGAATTAATCGATCGACCCGTGCGCCGGCCCCTCAAATCAAAGGAATATCTCGTAATCGAGCGGGTATAATGAAACGCGATTACTCTTTATTGTCTGCTGTAAAAAGTTGGAATTGCTCGTGACATAAGGTGCAATATTACAATGTTTAAAATCATTTCAATACTTTTTTGTTATACGTCGTTTAAAAAAAATGATCCTACTGAAAAGACGAAGCTACATATTAAGGAGGGCGAATTATTTTTTCGCGCCAAAGAAGCAACAATATTTGGGACTTTATTTAAGAAAAAAACTGCTAATTGAGTATGTCTGAATTTTGTATATGTGATTAAGTAATTTTACACTTAAACAAAAAATTTATTTTTATTTTTTGTGCGGAAATGACGTCACAAAACCTGCAGTTTTCCTGATTTGCACGGTTTACGTTTTTACAATAATCCAAAATCAAAAAGAGACATGAAAAAAATTTTTTTATAAAATAGTCCATTTTCAGACTCCACTTTCAGTAGGTTTTTTTTTATGAATTTTCGGTCATTGTTGCACTCTTCGAACCGAAAAGGTAATTTGTCCCTTTAAAAAGACGAAGCTACGTATTAATCTTTAAAGCGATCTTATCCATTATTGAAACGTTACACGAGCGTGCGCTAAAAGGTGCGAAGCTACGAATCGGAACGGTTCTTGCCTCCGGTGCGTCGAAACGTCCCTAATAGAACCGTCGACGGTTGATTATCCGCTACAGAACGTCGTAATCTCCAGATTATCATTTCGCGCGGCACACTTATCGGATAGCTACCTGGAGGACGTCGCGTCTGCAGACGCGAAAACACGCGAAGCAGAAGAGTATCTCTCGTACGGGAAAGGGGGCGGGAAGAGGATAGGGGGAGTAGGAGGAGGAGTCGGCAAACTCGACGTGCAGTTTCTTCGGCATTACAAGAGCATCCACCTTCGCTTTAATCAAGTCGGAGAGCGGCGGGCGGGCAGGCAGGCAGGCAGGCAGGCAGGCAGGCAGGCAGGCAGGCAGGCAGGCAGGCAGGCAGACGCGCGCGCGAGCGAGCGAGCTACCGTAAACGGGTTATATACCTGGAGGAACTCACCTTCACGACGTGGTGTTTGCGATCAATGCTCGGCATCTTCAGGACACGGCACCAGAGCAGCGTGTCTTGCCCCATGGGTAAACGAACCTGCGCAGCAATTCGAATGGTACTTCGTTAAACCATGAGTATAATTCCATGCGAAACTAACGGATGGAGTTACTGCTACGTCGGGACGAAGTATCGATACTTCCTCTCTATCGACGTCGACACGTCCCCCTCCCCGTAACTATGTGTATATATATATATATATAAACGTTTCCCGCCGTGGGTTTTCACGTCGGGAGGAAGACAAGATCGTGATACGCGAGATTAAACGCATATATGTAGAGCAAGCGTAAAAAGGACGAGAGAAAATGGACCAGCAGATACGCAGATAATACGGGTAGAACCGATTGTACACGAAAGCGTAAATATATCGTATGCACTCGCCCTACATAATACGGTTATCCTCGCTTACTTGGAGGTTTATCTTTAAATATCGATATTGACGCTTCAAAAGTGAGAGAGAAAGAGATGCTTGTGAAAATTCTCGAAACACGAAGACAGACGACTTGTCGACGCGTGATCATCCCCCAGTAAAAAATACATCCAGATATTTTTATCCCGTTAACGTGGTTAGAGCATTCTCTCTCTCTCTCTCTCTCTCTCTCTCTCT